CCCCTCCGCCACCACCCCCGCGCCACAGGGTCGCGGCCGGCGCCGCACTGCCCGTCCCCCTGAGCGCCCCGGCCGGGCTGTGCTGCGGAGCGGAGTCTCCCGCCTGCCCTTTGCGGTGCTCCCTCCCCGGCAGGTCCCGCACGGCGCGGCCCCGCAGCGCCGAGGCCCCTAAAGCGTCTTGCCCGGAGGCTGTCGGGGGTCGCCTGGGCGGCGAGTGAGAGGAGCCTGGGCCGAGTCACTTGGGCTCGTTCCGCCTGGGGTCGTGTTTTGAGGTCTGCAAGAGCCAGAAAATGTCTGCAGAGCTCTTGACTCTTTTGTGGAGGGTTAAGGACTCCTCTGGGGGTTATAAAGGGAAGCGGGGGAGAGCGGGAGGAGACTGGAAGGTGAGGGCTGAGCTGGCCTGAAGCAGCAGACTGAAGGGGGACGAGGTGGTTTGAAGTCTGTGGAAAAGAGCCCCGAGATATCTGATGTTTCTGCATGTTTTCTGCTGATTCTTGCTTGCTCCTTGTTCTGGGGTCCACTGCTGGGTGCTCCCTTTGCCACAGAGGTCATGGAGAGCCGGGCGTAGAAGTGGGATTGTTCCCCATGGGCGGTGCAGGGGTTTGTGTTGGTGAGCGTTGTCTAAGGACTCTCCTGCTTACTGCCCTAGGAGCCAGAGAGAGCATCAGTGGGATTTCTTTAGTCTTCAGTAAAGATCTTCAGTCAGTTACCTACCATGGGAGTCGGGATATAAGCAGCCCCCAGAGTCTGTAAAGGTAAGCAGAAGTGTACTGGTGCACATCACTCTTCCTTCCTTCCTTCCTTCCTTCCTTGGTACCGCCCCTTATTATTTTTTAAAAACCGTTCGTGTCAAAATTTTATTCAGAAAGGAAGCTGTGGGAGGAAAGGGTCAGCCAACAGGAAAATATCGGGTTTTTCATTTTCCTTTTGTAGGCTGGCATGAGACCGAGCACCGTCTAGGAAGCTGTGTCAGGAGCAGTCACCTCTTGACACTGCTGCTAATAGGTGGTTATTACAGCCCATTTTGCTGAGAGCTGAGGTTTGACTCTGACAGCTGCTCTGGTGATAAAGTGTTTTACCTCATCTAAAAATCATAAACCTTTAAAATACTCCTCTTTGTCTTTCATATTTTGAATTAAATATTGTTATAAGTTTAGTAAATTAGTTGTAAAAGGGATATGATTACATAAAACACAAGCATTGCCTTGGTAAGAGATTTATTTTGAAATTATGTCTATAAAGTGCCATTACAGGGTGGTTTAAAATAAGTCAATGCAGATGAATTGACAGTGGGCTCTGAATATTTTTGCACACTGAGCAAACTGTTCATTTACATTAGTGGGGAATCTGGTTCATGAGAAAAAATCTAATTTTATAATCAATCACAGATTGTTTACTTTCATTTAATTTATGTTGTTTTACACCTTTATATAAAGTATATGCTTTTATGTTCTTGTTTCTGTTTGTCAGCCTTCCTTCCTTCCTATACTTTTGTTACAAGGAAAATTCCAGTCCAAAATAAAAAAGCCTAATCACTAATTCTAATAGCAGGGGAGAGTGAAGTGTGGAGAACAGTCCTCTTCCCACCCATTCAGTGTTTTGAGCAAAATTCATGTTCCTTCATGGAAGCAAGTTTTAAAACTCTCAAATTAATAATAAAGTGAAATTTTTTTTTGTGATGCAAGGAAGATATGAAAAATGTCTGTCCTAGTTACAAGTGATCAGTTACGATATTTTATAGAAACTTCTTGGTGAAATCCAAATCCAAACTCATGAGATAGGAAAATGTTCTCTATTATACCTTCATTATTAACTTGAACAGGGAAATTTTCAGTATTTTGCTGAATATATAGCTTTCTGTGTTGGAACTCTGGAATATATGTCATTTAATACCCTCTCAAGAAGAATCTCTTCTTTCCAGTCCTGCTCTAATAGGAAGACTTACTAATGATATAGTGCAAAAAAGTACTGAAATTACAGTCTTCTCTCCAAGGCTGAGGATGAAAGGATGACAGATATTCCTTAAAACATTTTCATTCATGCTACATCATAAATATACTTACTTTTGCATGGCCCTGGTCCTACAAATGTTCTAAGCATAAAACTGTTAATTCAGTGCACAAGGTGGCCAAAACTGTTCAATATGTAGGTGAGGGGTGTCACAGAAACTTTTAAGATCAAACCTTTCACCTTGTTGCCTCATTTTTCTGTATATAAGGTAAAACTCATGTCTGGCTGTAACTAGGTCAGGAGTAGATTTTTTGAAAATGTGTAATATCAAGTAAAGAATTACAGTCACAGTTCTACATGGTAACTATAGCAGTTCTACCATAGTAGGACTCCTCCCTGGTTTTTGGCAATTCAACAGTAACACCACCACTATCATTAAATACAGGGTAGTTCCTTACCAACAAAGATGCCAGGAAATATTATTGAGACTTTCAATCAACGGTTTTCTCAGGATTGCTTGATTTTTTTTTTTCCTTCTTGCAGTGTTTTTCCTATTGTTTTAGGTCTATTTTTGCCACCAGTATGTTTTGCCAGTTTCGTATCCACAAGTCTAACCTTCTGTTTTGGAAGAACTTTGTAGTCTGTCATTCATGTAAGTAATAGTCTAATAGCAGGTCTGTTGAATTTATTTTCAGTGGAAAATTGGGCTTTCTCCAAAACCTGCTGCTGGCAGGGTTGATTCCTCAATGATAAATGTGGTTACTTGCTGAATTTTCTGGTAATATACTTTGTCTTTTTATTTTTCTTGTCCCTCTTTGGGTAGTTCAATAACTGTTCTGATTCAGTTTCCACTAAGAAGCAATTTATCATGTCATTTTTCATTTTAAGAGTAGAAGAGCACATCTGTTATGGCACTTGTCCCTATACAGAGAGTCAGTGAAGACAACTGAAATGGTTACATCACATTTTTGTGGTCTATAAAGCTCATTAAATATTAAGCCATTTTTCAGTTTGAACCAGATTCCAAGAGCAGTGAATGAAAATTAAAAATTTACGATTATAGATTTCATAAAGTTTTTATTTCTAATCAAAAGCATGAGCTCTGAGGATGTTCATACATGGATAGTAGCACTGTATTCAGGTATAAGAAATAAAATTCTGAATTTTCTCAATGCAGAAAGAAATGAAGTAACTGTTGGGCCATCAGACTGGATGTCAGTATCAGCCACTGGGAGATGGAATAATGCTCTTTACTGTTGGAAGGAAGACTCTTTGAAATCTTTCTTAAGGAGGTAGTCACCTCCATGCAGGTATTCCCACTTCTTGTGTAGGCAAGACATCAGTAATTTGCAATTCTGGCTTAATGTGGTTTCTGTTAGATTTGGTAAGATGGATAGTTACCCTGAAGGAAAACAGTCACTCTTAGAGATGTGAACATCTGTACAGTCTTAATAATACATTCTTAGAGAATATACATCTATGCCAAAAATACAGATACATCTTAAACAATACATATCTTATACAGTGTTTTATAATCTAGAATCAATTGGTTGATTTTACAGCTTGCTCACATAGCTTCTCTCCCATTTTTAGAAAAATGGTGCAAGCATTACATTTCTTAAAACAACATCTCGTTGATAGAATCACTGTCATTGATAGCCAGCCATTGTATTAAAGAATACTTTTATTTCAAATCTAGACAATCAAACAATTTTTATTTTGTAAGAAGTATTGCTTAATAGTTTCTATGCAGGAAAAGTCTTAGTCCATCAGCATGTCTTTTTTTTCCCTAATTTTTTAATTTTTTTTTTTTTTTTTATCAGTACTTGAATAATCTGGTATTCTTAAACCCCTCAGGCAAAGTCTTTGACTTACTCTGCCTGGCAGATGGGTTTTTGCCATGTATTGTTTCTTAAAATGTTTATGTTGTCACATTTATCATATTTTTCTCAGCTGGAAAAACATTTTTGTAGAAAATCCTGTTTGCTGGTTGTCTTAAAGGTTTCAAAAGTGCTTGTACCTTTCATTTAGGCCAAAAAAAATTTTACATGCAGGTATTTTATATTGCTTTGGGGAACATCAAAGCTAAAGCTTAGCAAGTCAAACATCTTTTATGAATGGTGCTTTTTTGTATGGATAGGAAGCTAGTTCCATTAAAATAGTCAAAGCCCCCAAGAATAACGATACCTCTCTTCTAAGAATTTTGAAGTGGTTTCTCTCAGATTAACTTTGAAGTCATATCCTGAATTTTATTTGCAGCTTTTTTTAAATTCTTATTCTTGACACATTTGAGGGTTTGTGGTTTTTTAAGGTTTCTAAATGAGCTTTGTCTACTGGTGTCAAATATTACTGGTTTTGGAAGGCAGTGCTTGTTTCCATTGTGTAACACTGATAGGGCTACTTGTGAGTCATTGAGGAAAAAACACCAAAATGTCCCAGTGAGGAAAACAAAATGCATAAAACCTGCAAAGGTCCACCACTTCTGTAATGTTTCTGATCTGAAATACATTTTGCATTAGAACTTGTTCTACCTGTATTAATTATGCACAGTACTAGACACAGGATGCTTTCTAGCATGAAAGCTGGGCCTAAAATAACAGAAAAAGAGGACTTGGATTCAAAGGATATGGACTGAAACAGATCATGAATGGAATTTTGCATGAAGCTTGAGCAGGTTTTTCTATCTCAGTGAAAAAAACTTGATGTAAATTAACTCTCAAAGGAGGGTGTGCTGACTAAGGCCAGACTGTTCCCACCCTGAGAAGTAGCCACAGTCTGAATTCCCCTGTGCTGGCTAGCTCCAGCTTGGCATAGTTAGATGTATTCTCACATACCACTCTCCAGGCTCACCAAGGCCTGGGAATTTAAAATTCCTAATTCATCCTACAGTGGGAGCTGCAGCTGGACTGCAAATCATGCATGAGTCCTGCTCTGGCTGCATGCACATGGCAGCAGCTGGTGCATGGGAGCCCCCACAGTTCTTTCTCCCTGCCTGCAGAAGACTCCTTCACAGTGTACCGGGGCTGGCATCCCCTGGCACAGGTGGCAGCCAAGTGACAAGCTGTACTTGCTCATGACACAGTGTTAGAAGGGTCACACCAGGTGCTCTTGTTGATTCACCAGTGAGTGAAATGCAATGGCATATCTCTACATGAGCTCACTCAAATCTTGCTGCTGGCTAGTCAGCAGTGCACAAATCTGGGTTTAATAAATATGGAACCATAAATTCAGATAGGAGCAGGAACTGGCAACTAATGGTTTTGACTTATTGTGGCCTCTGAGCTGTTTGTGCAGCTGTTTGTGAAGCCACGCTGTAAATCAGATCACTCAATCCAGATTTTTAAAGTTCTGTCTAATCTAATAATTTTTAACCAGAACTGCTCCATTGATTAAATTCATACTCTGGACCCACAAACACTTGCATTGGCACAATTGCAGCACTGGTAGACTGTGACACACAGATGGTGTGGGAAGAAGGAAGGGAGGCTGCTGGATTGTAAGTTTGTCTGTGGGGACAATATCCCTGCATAATTATAACCTTATTCTGAACCACAGACTCTCCATCAATTTCACTTTCTGATCCCTCATGCTCAGCCCTTCTTAAACTGAGCCTATACTCAGGCTTACATATTTGTTACATCTCATCTGTGCAATCCTAGATCATCTAATGGTAATAAATTGATCAAGATTAAATATGAACATGTAATTGCATTTCTCTCATGGTTAGTGAGCTATGAGTTACAGTGTTTAGACCAAGCTTTATCCTGGCTTTCAACTGGCAGCAGGAAGACAGATGATATCAACTCTAACATAAAACTGTCAGGAGGAAAACCTCATTGTATAGCACTCACCAGTCCTTGTTTTTGAGGGTTTTGGGTTTTAAGTAACTTTCTACTGTCTGGTTGAATTTGTAAAGAGAATTTCATGTCATATTGCCATCCAAAATTTAAATGTATTGCATCATGAAATTGCAGTTATATACTGATGAGAGTAGGCTTTCAGCTTCTTTCATAGGTTATTTCTGAATATACCTGTTAGAGTCTAGGGGAAAGGGGATGATTCTTTATTAAAAGGTGATGTGTAATATTTCAAATTATTATGGTCTCTAGCCAAGAAAGATCCCCGTTTATTACAGCTGCTGCATTTAGAAATAAAGACATGGGTCTTAGGCAGAAAAACATTACTTAAATCATTACCCTCTCATGGTTATATGTACTGTTTTATACCTTTCATATCCTCACAGATGTAAGAATAATCCCATACACATCTATACCAAATAAAAAGGTTTTGTCATTTTATTTCCATAATTGAAGTGTACTTTCAATTGAAAAAGCAGATATTCACCTTAATTGTATTTCACTGCTGTATTTCTCTTTATGGTCTTAAAGAAAGAAAAACTCTCTAGGTACAAGAAGATGTTAAGCAAGGAAGAGTCAAAGTTAAAACTTGGCAAGAGCTAAAACAAAGATTTTTTCCAAGGAAATGGAGGAGACAGGTCAAATTAATTCCTTATGTAAGTCCATTTACCTCAGTACAGTTATAGGAGGGATGAATTTAGTACCTTATACCTCTGCAGTCAGAAAAAGATTTCTGTGATCTCAATCAGCACAGTATAAAATAATAATTCTTAAGAAACAGAATTGTAATTTAAGAACTGCCCTTGTTAGTTTTAGGCTATTAATATGATTGTAAAAGAACAATACGTCTGCAGAACAACAAAAAAAGGTCTTCATAAACAGATTAGTACATGATGATTTGTAGCTTACATCCTTGGTAACATTTTTTTGTGGGAATGAGGAATTCATGACAGGCTGCTAAAATGGGCAGGGACAGCAGGGACAGCTTCTCTTTTAAGTTTCAGCAGCTTTTCTCCAGTTTGAAGCATTGCAACTTCAACTTTTTCCCTCCAATCTCATCCTTCTCTGACCACCCCTAATTTAAATTCTCCTTTCCCTCAAGTTTGTTTGGGTTCAAAACAGTTGTGTGTGCAGGGGTCTCTGTGGCTTCTCTTCACTGATGAGTTTTTTGAGATTTTTCTCCTCAGGCAGAAATACTCAGTCCCTTGGGAAAGATAACAGACAGATGTTTGGCCTCCACCATAGTTTCTTTTTAGATTTTAAATTTCAATATGTTTCAATTTGAGATGCTTGAAAATAATGCAAATTCACTTTGACAGCCCAGCCTTCATGTGCCAATCTGTAGTACTAAAGTGTAGCTGTACCCAGAGATTATTTCCATTTTAAAACCTTGTTATGAAACATCATCCTTGCCTCTCCACCCCACTGCCAAATTCAGGAAATACTTTTAGTATCAATTTTAAGATCTTTTAATACTGTAACATTAAAGCATTCATACAGTGTATTAGTGCAATGAAATTTAAGTCAACAGTCTGTCTTTTTTATCCTTACCAACTTGCAACTACTGGTTTTAATACAGAGGAAAGTGTCTGTGTATACAAGCATATAAAAGATGTGAAAATACAAAGGCATTTATTAAAATCAGACAAAACCAGGAAGATGATAAAATAGCAGAAGGAAGTGGCCTCACATATAAAAACTTTTGCTTTGTATAGCAGAATTTATCACTGAAAGCTCTGGCTGGCAGATTGCCATGCTTTGGACTAAACAAGGAATGTAACATTAAGAAAAAATTTGACTTAGTGTACAAAACACAATAGAAACAATAATGCCCTACAAAGTAATTAAATTAAACATTTTTTGTTTCCTTTTAATGTGGATCTTGAAAAGTTTCGTTATTTTTTCAAATGGCAGAAATCTCATTTGCACAGATGCAGGCTCTCCTCTTAAGGATGTTTGTTTGCATTGTTTAGGTGTGCCATTCATCAGGATATATGAAATCCCCAAATATCCAAAATTAAACAGTGATGGTGGAGCTATATTTTGAAAGCAAATAATTTTATTTCAAAATAGTGGAACCATTAAAGCATATTTTATAAGAAGTTATTCACTTTACTACAGTTTTAATGCACAGAGCTGCTCAAGTAAATGTGGACTGCTCAATGTTTTCACACTGGATAAATAATATATTTTTTAAATAGACTATGTTCTCTATTTCTTTTATGTTTGTGGGGGAAAAAATTGAAAGCATTAGGGAATAACAGTATAGTTGTGCCTGAAAGACTTCCACATAGCAGTCTTTGAAATCTGCTGTTGATGGAGAACACTTCAAAAGCATGAGAATCTGGGATACTTAGTTCAGTTATTGTACCAGCTGAGAACAAATGAATTATTTTCTGCAAGGATGTTCTTCTCCCTGGCCTGCTAAGGCCTGCATTCTGATATTCCTGCTGGAAGTGGTATCCAGTGGAAGATGGATAATGAGCTCAGCTAAATTCTCATGACTAACAAAATCCTGCCCTTGCTGTTTACTCTGAAAGGCTTTTCCAGAGCTCTGCAGGAATGAAAGACTCCAAACCTGAAAAACAAGATGGCAGATAACTAACTTACAATTAAAACAAACAGATAATTTTTTCAACATCTTAATCACATTTGCAAGATAAATACACTGCTAAGTAATAGTTATGTTCTTAAGTATTGTCTCATTCACAGTTAAAACCTTTTCATCTTGTTGACAAGAGTGGTTATCTGCTCCATACATTAAATCATTCCATGAAGTATTAATATGTGTTTCTTATATTTGAATCTCCAGTGTCCTGGTTGCTTCTGTGGAATTTCCATATTTACAAAGCACAGTTGCCTGGCAGTTCTTTTTCTAGCTGCTGCTTCTTCCTGAAATGGTTTGGACTTCCTGCATAATTTGTACAAAGCTTTTCCTTCTATAAATGTCATTTTAATTTTGTTTTAGTAAAGCTGGGATGTTCTGATACAAGTTAAAAAGAGATAAATTCTTCATATTCTTCAGCTAAAATAAGGAAATGCTGCCTTGAACCTATTAGAAATGAGATAATATTATTTTTATTAGATTATGAAACTGCAAGTAATGACAGAAAAATCAGTATTCTTAGAAATCTAAACTGCTAATCAATAAAATGAATTACTCCAGAATGCTGACCATAGGCAACAGCAACAAGTAAAGCAATCCCTATTATGATGGGATTTTGGAAGCTGTGCATTAATTCCAGAATAACACAACAGCAAAGAAAGGTGTACTTTTACCATGCCTAATGCAGCACCTACAGCTACACATCTAGGGTGTGTTTCCATTCTTTCTACTGGACTTTTAATCATTTATGGAAAGCATTTAAGCAGAAATTTATCCTTGATCTAAACAAGCAGATATTAATGCATGTGTATGTTTATATATAAAGTGTTTATATACCGTTATTACATGCAGTCAGGAAAACTACACTTTCATCTTTTACGTTAACAAAATGGTCTTTTATCTCTAGATCACAGTATTAGAGGTGTACTGGGAGCATGATGAGCAAAAGACTCCTTGAATGCTGCTGCAAAGCTGGTTAAACATCCTACCTTGGTTTGAGTCCAGTTTTGAACAGAGGTCTGTCCACTCATATTCAACAGTCACTTGAATAACGGGAACTTTTTAATTTCCTTACAGAGACCCTTAGTAAAAGTTTAGACACAAACTCCACCTTTGAGTTTGGAGTCTGCCTTGTTAAAACAACATCTTCTCCCCTTCTGCTAACAAACAACAATTATTTAACACTTCTGTAGTACTTCTTTACCATGATAACAACAGCAACTTTTTGAGATGTCATTTAACGTTCTCCCTGAATAACTGAATTTGCTCTTGATGGGACTGTCTTCTGTTCTAAATGGAAATTGCAAGGAGACACTATTACTGCTCTGCCAATAAATGTATCAGTCATAACACTATTTAGAATAACTGGGCAAAATAACTGTGGATTCTTCCTTACAGTGACAAAAAATTATATAAAATAACAATTCTTGTCAGTTTAATTTGAAAAAAGAATTTATTGTTATTTAAACTGTGATAAGGAAAGGTGCTCTGAAAATATACCTATCTCTTCTAACAGCATGATTTCTTGTAAGGACTTTCCAATTAATTTTGATGTGACTTCATTAAGTCACCATTTCAAGAAGATATGCCAATATATTTTCTTGATCAACAGTAGTAGATAAAAATATTAAAATTATGTTTAACTGCAGCACCAACATCAAGTAAAGTAATACAAGATACAGCATATCACAAATGACCAATGTGTAGCAGAGAAAGGAAGAAATTAGCATTTAGAACTCCAGGAAATAAAAAAGGTGCACTTCCTTTTCATAAAAAGCTTTAATAACCTTGTTAACAATTACTTTGAGCAGTTCATGTGAGAATGTTTAAGATTAAAAAGCAGTAGTGAGCTTAAAGCTGTGTAAAAAGTCTTATCAAAAGCTGTTCTCAATTTAATCATTCAAACAAAGTAACAAATTTTACCATTTTATAAACCGGAATTCCAAGGAGATTTCTCCTAGAGGACCATCCATATGCTATAACTTTAGACATGACATATTTTAGTATTATAATTCTCATATGGTAAATGCTGTCTCTTTTTTTCAAGATAATACACTTAAAGATGGCTGTTCTATGAAGGGTACAATATTTGGAATATATGCAATGAGTTTCAAGGCCCTTCAAGAACATGATATTGTCTCAATTTGAATGGCTGTGAAGATTCACATTGACTCTGCTGTGCATAGGACTGCACTTTTAACCCAGGTTAAATTTAATGATATTCCCATAAATCACCAACTCTAGGCATTGTAGCTCAGGTCACAGAGGCACATCCTCAGCCTCAGAGCTCTGATTAAGTCAGCAGGGCTAGACATCAGTACTGATCTTGTGTGATTGGATTACAGGATTGGAGCTGTGATTTCTCCTGCTGAAACCACTCTGAGGTACTTAAACAGATAAATCCTACTATCAGATTTCTTTTCTTATTGATTACACTTTCTGAAATGTAAAAAAAAAATAAAATATAAACCAACAACAACAACACCCCTAACCTTGCTTTATCCAGGTAGCATTAGGATAAGGTGCATGTAGGGCTGGAAGGACAACAGAAATACCTCTGGGGGAAAAATATTAAAAGTGTGATTTTTGCTTTTCCACAAAAAGGTTGTAAAATATTTGTGCTTTTTTTGTTTCCTCTGAGCTCATTTCTAGTCTTTACTTAACCCCACCCTCTTTGTGTGATCTAAACTACTTGACAATTTCTGTTATAAAGGAAAATATCCAGGTTGCTTCCTGTCTTAAGTTTTAATTCCTACCTTCTCATTCCATGTTTCTGGTAAAATAACCTATCAAATTAAACCAAGAAAATGTTCAAAACACCTTTTTTTAATTGGTTTTTTAATTTAATTTCTGTTTTTTTCTCCATGAGTTTATTCCTTGCCTCTCGGGTTTGTGTGTTAGGTTGAGAGGAGTCATCTTGTGTATCACATTTTCTTACCATGGCTGGAATATCTGCTAGGAGGCAGAAGAGCCCTCCCAGGCAGATCACCTTGATGAATTTAACAAGCACATGTGAATAACAAAGACTGACCAGAAATATTTTCACTTACAAAAGCATTCTTTTATACTAACTGTAGGAACAGTAGCCACATACACAATGGAATCAAACCTTTGGACAGTGCTGTTTCAATAGGAGCCTTCAGAAAAAAAAACTTCCTATGTGATGAAAGAGAAACTGCTCAAAAATCCATTCAGGTATACCCTACACTTCCTTATGGACACCTAATGAAAATATATTAGAATTAACTGTAAATTGAGCAAGTAGCAAAAAAAGCTTGATGAACTGACTGTAACAAAATATCCAGTGAAGAAAAGCTCTGCAGACTTCTGCTTGCCAGCACTGGCAAGTATGTAGTTTAGCTAAATAGAAAGAAAGCAGAAGATACAGCTATCAACTGCAAACGAATGATTATAAACCAGAAAGAAAATGTGAGGAAGAGCTCTGAAAATTATGATTGACAGTGACAACACAGACCAGACAGCTTTTATTTTAAGCAACAGATTGTTGGGAACATACACCATATATCAAAGTGAAGGACTTGAAACCTGCTGTAGTCTGTACAGATGTTCTCACTCAGAAAGCAGCTAGAGGGAACAGAAGATAAAAGAAGGCTGTCCAACTCAAAAAAAAGGTTTGAATTTTCATTCTGTTTTGACAAGTTTTTACGCTAGTCTCTGATTTTCAGCATGATAGAATATTCAGCATCTACAAACCTGACCCAAAGTGAAAAATACCTGAAGGGGTGCAAGTGAGCCCTTAAGAAGGTGCTATACGACATCATGAAATATTTTTTGTTGTTTTAGTCTTAAATGCTTTTGTATTGAAGGAGACAGAAATTGGAAATGCTGTAAGTGCTGTAGCTCTGGAGCAGGTCGTATGTGCTTGCAGTCAGCATGCAGTACCTGGAATGCAAGGCTAAGATCTGAGAGGCAATTTAGGAATCCCTGCTGCAGAAAATATTTTTCATGATACAAAGCAAGACAGGATTACTGAGCTCAAAATGGTTATTTGTGAATAACTTCCAGCTAAAGTGATTAAGGGCTTCAGCCACTAGCCCCAGAAAAAAAAAACAACTAACAAAGAGCATCAAAAACATCCTGCTTGTCATTGCTGCTGGCTTTTTGTTCAGTGAGCAAGAGGTCTGTGTTGGTTTTGGTCCTTTGCCCTTGGGGACACTTTTAACAAAACATAATACTTGAAAGAATTCCAAAATGTGTTTGTTTTTTTTTCTTTTCTTTGAACTATGAGGTGAAAGATAAATAAAGGAGTATTTTGATATGTCTAAAAAAATACTTGTGATAACAAATAGACAAAGCACTTCCTAACGTTCAAGACTTACAAGTGCAATTTACAAACATGCCACAGTTCTTGATAACAGAAATCCCATCCAGTACTATTTTTTTTTTAATGTAAGGTAAAGCACTCTTTTAAGAGATCATCTCTCTAAGAAATGTGAGTATCTTCAACAGAATCTTTGGTACTTTTTGGTTTAAGGTTTTGGGGTTTTTAAAATTCTAATCTGCTATAATATCTGCCAGAAAAATCAAGAGCCAAGAAACATACTGAAGATAGGAATGTTGTGATGAGTGTAAATTGGTAAGAGGTTCCTCTGGCAATCTCAGATTTGCAGAGAGGAAATTTGGGCTCTTGTACAGATGAGTTGCTCTTACAGAATTTTACAGCATGAGATGAACAAAGAGACTACCACCAAGTCATAGGCCACTAACTTAAATCATTCAAAGCATTTCAGATCCTAACAGGAAGAGATTTGGATATGCACATAGTAGCATGTCTATTTCTGAGTTTATTTGCAAAAGTAGTCAGAGTTCCTTAACATTCCCCATTGCAGGTATCATGCCCAATTATATAAATGTATGTAAAACTACTGATAAACCATCTGAAAGTGATGACAACATGAGTAATGAAGGCTGTCACAATGGGTGGCTGGAACATCGTGGACAGACAAAGGTTACAATTTCCTATTTCAGGATCTGCCATACAAATTCCAAAAGCCATGAGGAACCTACAGTGATGTGCAGGGAGCACTGATAGCCCTTTCTTAGCCATAGAGGTCTAACCACATGCCACAAGTTTGTAGAACTTCATAAGATTTATTATATTCAGTTTTTTCCTCTTTTTATTCTGTTTAAATGCTTGTTTTGAGGGACAATACGATCTCAGCATTCATCATTAAGAAAAAAAGTACACATTCATTTTGTACTCAGAGTATCAGCCTTTTCTTCAGGGTTGCCAATACCAGTTCTTTATAGAATACAGCCCATAACAAAAACATCTTCCTCAAAACTACCACTTGTAGCAGCAAAGGACCCCCAGACCAAACAAAAACTAAGTTTTTTGAGTCTAGAATGAAAACGTCACCTGATAGCAGCTTTCAGAAGAGATATTTGTGGAGGCTGAGTGTCTACTGTTTCAGTATGTTTTTTAAAGTTCAACATTTAGCAGAAGATACATATTTATTCTGCTGCCTTAATGGGAATATTTCATTCAGCTAAAGCAAACGCTCTGGTATCTCTGTTAATATCATGGTGATTTGAACTGTGCAGAGAAGCACCCAGCAGTGTTTATCCTGGATGATGCAAGAGTTGCTATGGCCATTACATGTATTTATCATGGCTTGCTTTCCCCTTTAAAATGAAGCTGTGCTGTAAGATTGGAGGTAGTTAGGAAATACCTTGGAATTACATTGCAATTAAGTGGCTTGTTAAAGCTTCTCACTAAAAAAAAGTGTGTAAAAAGAATGCCCATTAAAGAATACTGGTGGTTAATATCATTAAACTAGCCTTGAGTTCAAATACCAGATTTCCAAGGTCAGGTATTGAGCCCTTTTATTCTCACAGAGATTTTAAATTTGTTTGGTTTCTGTAAGCACACATTTGTCAAACTGTAGCACTGAAAAACCACTTCCTGTCTGACTTCACATTGTCAGAAACACAATCTCTTCAACTACAGCTGTACAATTTATACAGTGAAAAATTTGAATGAGAAGCACCAAAACTACCTTTTGTCTTTTAAAAAAGATTTTTATTTCTGTTTTTAAATAACTTGACAAAACTCATCCATAGGTACTCTGAGTTCAATTGTAAACAGTTACAATACATTACCACTGTGTATTGATTTTGTACATTAACCTATTTGCAGTGACAGTCCGTAAGACAAGGCAAACTGAAATGCACTGTACTAAGATGTACTAACAATGAAATACTCCAAAGGCTGATGTGTAACTCCCTCCTGTGGTGTGAGTGAGCAGCTTCGCAGACGACAGCTTCTGGCAGCTTGGGGAGCGCTCCTGATATTCCAAGTCTCTATTCAGGTTTCAAGTCTACTATGGAAACTTCTCTCCTAAGTTAAAAGTGTCACACTACATTTGTAAAATACATACAAAGTTGTAAACATATTTCTCTGAAACAAAAACTGGTTTGTGCCAGCCTTCTCCACCTCCCACATTGCAATTAAAAAAAAAATAATAATTAAAAAAAATAGGGCCAAAGACTAAGGCCGTAGACTAAAATTTTTCTGCAGGGATAAAATCACAGTTTACAGGAAGTATTGAGTATCAGCATTGAAAATTAGTCACCATCAGGTAATAGAAACCATTTTCAAGAAATGGTTTCACTCAACTTCAAGTGATGAATCAGGCACTAGATATTTGATTTCCCTCCTTTTAAGAACAGAAGTTTAAAATACATTTAGGTACTATGTTTGATAATACCTAAAATTGACCACAAACAGATGCTTAAACACTGATACTTTTGCAAGTTTAGATTTTGACCACTTTTGCTATCAGGTTTATACCAATCTTCCATGAAGAAGGAAGGAATTTGCAAAACAGACTATATACATATATAGAGATCACACAAATAAAATGGATCTTTTCAAGGCAGATTTTCTTTGTGCAAAGTCCCTCTGGTCATTTTCTAAAACGTTTTAGGTTTTGTATTTATTTCATCATTAACAGTGAAGTAACTATCTTAGTCTGAATCACGTATAACTAATTCCAAACAGACTAAGATAACTGAGATTTTGGGATGCAGTAGAGGATTAATATCCAAGTACAATAGGATTTGCTTTTACCAGTGCAGACTGGTAAAGGATAACATTATTCTAGTACTTCTGTATTTACTGTTCTTGTTTTAACACTGTCAGGAGATTGATATCTGTGACCTTGTAATTTAAGTATGACAGTTGATCATGAAATATCAGTATTTTCATAGGCAACATTTGGTTTATTTTAAAGTTCTATCAAGTGTAGCTCTTCCTTGAGAATTAGAGGCTCTGCAGTCTAAAAAGGGTTCTCCCCCTTTCCCCAGTTACTGGCTGTGCATCACAGAAACAAGTAGCAGAACACATTCTGTGCACTATCAGGGGAAAAAAAAAGTTTTAAAATATTCACGTGAATGTACTCTTTGATTTTTTGAAAAGTTATGCTAAGTTCTAACCTTAATATATTTTGTAAGCCCCAAATTCTAGCTGCAATTCTCAGCTGTCAGAGATACAAGATACTCAGTTTAAATATTGGATTTTAATTAAAGCAGCTGTTCTGAAGAGAAAAAAAAGAAATATGTCACATTGAGTACATATTGCTCTGTCAGCTGTACCACCTGTCATACAGCCTAATGAGAGACTATGGACTCTTACATCTCTACAGGGTTTCTGTCAATTTGTTGTGCATAATTAATTGCACAACAATGTTTCTGAGGTGGAACAAAGTATCAGCACAAGCTTATGCTGAGAAATTCGAGGGAAATATATGCACAACCTGGTCATAAAAAAGGAGCAACCTGACAATAAGATTATCTATTAGAAGAGTACATACAGGCTTGCTTCTTCCAAAAATTAAATGTGTATACCTATAAGGGGCAAAGGTGGAGAGAAGGAGAAAGGAAGCAAACTTTGGCAAAGTTTAAGAAAGTGCTGTCTTTATAGTTCTAATAATAACTTTAAAAAAAAAAATAAATAAACCACCAAACCTCAAACAATAGCAAAACCAAACCCAACACTGAAAAACCAAAAGGCTAAAAAATGTCTACAGCTAGAACTGTTCCCTGTGCAGGATGATGCAGACACACGATTGCTGAGATTGCACTGGCTAAAACCACACAGAGAAGTAACACCACCATCTCTACTGCATTTTGCACTGCAACATCAGAAGGTAAATAAGCATTTGCATAAGCATCCCAACATCATACTGTGGTAAAACACTTTTTATCTACATGCAGAGCTCTGTGCACACACATTTTAAAGTATATTTTCTTTTCAAAGCAGTACACCATATAGTAAATTTTCACTTAAGTGTAACTACTAGGAAATTCTCTAAACATTGAGTATTTTCTTATTTCTTTTCTAAAGGCAGAAATAAAACTTTGCTATGTACTGCAGGAAGGATCTGGACATTAAACAATGAAATTTTAGATAGCACAAGTTGTTTAGTAGAACCCTGACATTTTGCTTAGAAATAACCTCTCCTAGAGAAGGATGAGAGACAAAAATACAGAATATGAAGGCAACTCCTGGTTGAGTATAAAGGTTCCTTACCTCTACTAATAATGTTATTTTTCTGTACTATAATAATCATCTCAGACAACCCTAACAGCACATTAACTCAGAAAAGTTTTCCACATTGGACATTGTGAAGCCATGAAGCTCCACAAAAACTGGTTCTTGGCCAAGACACCTTCCATCTTTTGAGATGAGTTGATATCAAAACATCTGTAGGAAGAGAACAGTGGCCTAAACCATATTGTGTTAGATTTATCTATAGTTTCAAAGGATGGATGCCATCCTTCAGGTTCCCTATTCTCCCTCCAGACAGGAAAAGCCATTTAAACTTTGTCTCAGTCAGGGCAGGCAGTTCTGTTAGTGCAAGAACAGCACTTTCATTCCATGGCCTCCCCAGGCTTAAAGTGCAGTATATTACATGAGATTTTAACATACCAAACTATGCTTTATTTGAATTTCAGAAGGAATGTTCAAGTTAAAATTACCTTTTAGGTTTTAACCAATAAAATTCAAGGCAAGGTACATAAACTATCTTAAAATGGATTAAATCCACTTATTTAAGTATTCTTTGTATCTTATGTTAAATATACATATACACAACAAACATCCATCATTTCACTTAGCTGTATTGTATTTAAAGTGATTCTGTAATAAATGATGAAAGGCCACGCACTCAAACAAGACGTTGCTTAAAACAGGACAGTATTAGCTGGACTGTGATATGTAACACAATTCAATATTCCAAGATCTCCTCCTCCATAGGCTTGTCATCAATGAGGAGAAAACCCTTGGCATTCTTCTGTACACACATTTAAATTCTAGTTTTTTGGTGGTGTCTCATGTTTCGTTTCCCCTCAATTTGAAATCACCATGAAGAAAAGGTGCATTAAAAATTGGATTGATGTTTTTATGCCTTTAGCTACTCCTCTTGCCTATTAACGTGACAATCTCACTACAAGTTCTTGTATAGAACTATGGTTCCCAAAACATGCAGTTCCCAAAAGACATACAGCAGAGAATGTTCCAGGGCAAACCAGTCAGCTGCACAAATAAGGTCTCAAGTAACAACTGCAAGTACAGCTGTGCCAATTGATCCTTTGTACAGGAAGTCCAAGCACCCAAATTCTGGGTGCAGGACTGTGTTCAGGGAAGGCTCACCATAGGGGGAGGGTATGGCTGTACCTATGGAGCTGCTTAGAGAGATTAATGTGGAGTTGCAAAACATTGTCTTTAGCAATCAAGCCAGCTTAAACAAGCTCCAACCCCTCCCTGCCTTCATTGCTCTGCCTTCAGCCCTGTCAAGTGTTTTTTTGGGTCAAGGTATAGGCGGACAGCAGCTTAACACCCTAACTCCAAGCCACAGACATTTGGAGAAGTGTCTTTGTTTCTGGTGTTCTGGGATGTCAGATCCACATCACTTCAGGAATCTTGAACCTCTGCAACACCACGCATTAACTTGTGTTAACACCACTCACTACAAGGCTGATAAATTCCAACAGTAGAGATGAGGGTGAACAGCTCAACTTAGAGTGAACTGTTAAGAGTAATCACTTACAACACATAATCCAGTATTATTTTGGGGCTTTCAGTCACTTCATGACAGATAATTGCACAGTCAAAAGTCTGTAAGTTAAACAATCATTTAAACACCAGGGAAAAGTTATTTTCTAAATTAAAGTAAGTGGCTTTTCATCTCTTTTAGCATCCAAAAAAAGACAATCAGCCAATGGGGATCATGAAAACACAACATATCATTTAGCATAAAAAGTAATATATCTTATTTTCAGCATTCAAATAGATTTAAAAATTTCAACACTTCTCTCCTTAAGGCTGATAACCAGCATCTCATCTTCATAATCAAGGAATTCTCCATACATATGTGCTAACAGTCAAATAACCACCACACTGGAAACTCTACTGGCTTTCCAGATAAGTTCAGTTCAAACTTAATGCAACATCCTTTCCTCTCTTTCCAAGATGAAGCAAGACCAGCTGGCAAAAAGGATATCTAAGGTGTGAATCACTGCCATGGCTTTACTCCACATTAAGTCCTCACTTTTAAGTCGGAATCAAAGGGAAGCTGGAAATGCATTCCAACCCATACACTTGATACCTCCCTCTTTAGGTGAGCCTTTAGAGCACATTAAGTGTATCATCAGCAATGCCCCTACTGAGAATTTTGGACATTGAGTTCAAAGTTTGACCTACTGCACAAAGAGTTCCTCCACTGAAGTGCCAACAGGAGCCTATTCCTCAAAATTCTATTCACCAGCAGCTCTATGGATTCCAACATTCTTGCCTTGTTCTTCAGCAAACCTCATTGTCAGAAGCCTATCCCAAAGCCAAAGTCAACAGGCCCATTGTACTTCAGCAATAACAATCACTTTTTCAAGGAAAAGAAAATTGTTTTAGAAAGTTGTTTACAGTGTCTATTGTAGCACAATAAAGCTCACAAGGTATTGTTAAATTACAGCTGTGCCATCCTTGGAAAGCAACGCTGCTGAGATTTATGCTGCACTGAAGACCACCCTCCCAACAGCTTTCCAGTTCAGTGTTCTAAGGACATATATTAGCTGCTGTTGGATTCAGAGCAGGAATTCAACTCTACAAGAAACAAGTTTTATTGGAAATGGGTATAAATAGTAGTAGCCAGAACACTCCACTAATACAAACTCTGTAGAAAACAAAGAATCTGTGCTAATCAAACTGAGTTCTAGTTTAATATTAACAGCAGACCTGCAGAAGTCCCAGAGTCTGAAGATTATGAAGTTCTTTATACTCAGATGCTATTCCTTACAATAAAGAAAGTCCCTATTCTTCCAACAGTCAGTTTAACTAGCAATGTTACAACTATAGTTTCTACTTCAGATATATAATTCTCACTAAAACCTGAACTGTAACTGTGTCTCTCTTATTTTCTGCTAATATTAAAAATAGTAGTTATTAAAATCTCAGTACTTTTTTACCTTCACTACATATCAGAGACCTGCCAGTGCAAAAGCTAGCACAGAGATTACTAGCTGTATGATGTGAAAATTATTAGTCACATATTGTATATTCAAAAGCATTTGCACATATCCAAGTGTTTGCTCTGAAGATACAAGGTTTAAGCAACAAAGGAAAACACATGGTTTCTGGTTGTTTGAGAGTCCCATAGCAGAGTTGTTCAGAGAGGCAACTAGATTAGAACAAGGATCAGGAAGTCCACCAAGCTCCAATGCTATAAAAAATACAAACAGCAATTCATTCTCTTTGCTACTGCTCATTTCTAATTCCAGAAACCACAGGTTTTTATTACACTGCAAATTTCCCAGCCAGAATTGTGCAAAACATACGAAGTTATCTCCTGGGCAGCATGAGCTGAAGTCTCCAGAAATGCTACAAGCTTCTTCCAGCCAGCCTGTTACTGAAAGGCCACCAATGCAGTGAGAAGCCCTCTCGAGACTGTCTTTCCCAGAAGAAAAATGCAGATGAAATGAATCCTTCCAAGGAGCAGCTGCACTTGAATTCATCCCTGCTGATTCACTGAAACTCAGAGGCATTTCCTTGCCAACAGAAGACAGAGGTATAGTATTATGGAGAGAACAATTCCTGGTGTTATATAATTTTTGTAAACTGCTATTATGATTTTGAGAACTGTCCAACATGGAATGCACGTGTGTCACATAAGCTGCTGGCTTGTGATGATCTGGGCCACTGTCACATACTTGCTTCTGGGTAAAATCTTCTTTCTTCATAGTCCTAGAGCACACAAGCACAGCTTTGCTGCTTCACAACAGGCTGGTTTTGAAGAAGAGTGTGAGTGACTCTAGTTGCAGCATACAGGGGAAGCGGCATACCAAGTCACAAGTCAATGGATCTCAATATGGACCTAAAAAGAAAGAATACATGAAGTTATTACACTGATAACCAAGCTTCCTGGTTTCCAGTGTATTGCACCAAAAATAATTTAAAATCTTTCACATAAAGAGCAACCCAGCTACAGAAAGTAACAGTTGTCCCAACAGACAAGTCTCCCTACAGGCTGCCTGAGCACATCCAGAGGGGTAGGAAGCATGCCCAAATACCAGCTGTCCTTCTGTAGCTTCAATTTAATCTGCTACAAGCTCTCTTTTGGTGACAGGCATGAAAGTGAGTCAGCAAACGAGCAGCCAGAGATTCGCTGTGTAACAGCAGCGTTTCCCTTAACCAATAGAAAAGCAAGCTGGGACTGATTAGAGGCTTAGCATTAAAGTAATCCTCCTGTAAACAGAAGTGCAAACTGAAATCAGACACACATCACTGGGTATCAACAATGTACCACAAACAGCTTCCCAGGGGGAACTGGTCAGACTGGCTGGCCCAGCACAGTTAGCAGGTATCAGCTGTAGCACAAAGGACAAGCTGGTGGTGTTCCAGGAGAACTAATCTGTACCAACACTGATAACGAGCAAAGACAAGGCTTTTTCAGCTACCAAGGTTACTAAACTATGTGTACAACTCCTGGGCATCTGGCTCATTTTCAAGCTTCAGAATTGTAGGGCAAATCCCAAAAACAAAAATAGGAGACGGCACATTTTGACCGCTTCCAATTTCAAATTCTCTTTTACAAGTGACAAACTCCAACCAGACCTGTCTTTCAACACTTGGCCACTGGACAGATGTCAAAACTTTGATTACAGCTATGTTTACAAGAAGAAAGTTTGTCCAATCCTTGGCTAGAACAGATGTTTGTAGTGACAGGGCACAGCCTGCTTCTGCTGCCAGTTAAGTTAAAAGTAAATCTTTCACTTCTTCACAAAAACAATTAAATTTCAACCCTACAATAGCTCAAATCTGTGTTAAGAATTCCACGTTTTGTAGAAACAGGCTCAAAACAGGAGAGATACCAATTACATGTGAATCATCTTTTTCATGCAGTAACATTGGTATTTAAAACTGTATTTGCCGTGCTGCAACTGTTCTTGATTTCAAAAAACCCCAATAAACCGATGAAGGAAATTGTTTTCTTCACTCCTTACAGGGTGGCAGGACCTTGCTATCAAAGTGCACATATTCACAATGTATTCACAGTATTTAAGTCAACTATGGCTTAGGAAAAGGAACAGGAAAGCGGCACGTTTGAGCTAACACACAGAGCGAGGACCACAGCGGGATACTCGCAGCTGGCCACCAGCAAGGGCAAGGCTCCGGGGCCGCATCCGTGCACAACCCAAGCGACACTGCCTGGTGACACAGGGCAGGGCACAGCCCCCGCCCCGCCGCAGGGACGGGCTCTCGTCCGGGCACGCTCCGCCGTTATTCGGGGCAGCGGCTGCGAACCG